GTTTCAAAATACTTCAGTTAGTACTATGCTTTCACCAAAATTATTTGCTTACTAACACTAGTGCTACCCTGAAAATCTAATCTGATTTTGCAATGAACTATTTCGCCACGTTTGATTCAGGGAACAACTGAAACTTACCGGAGTGCTGAATGTTCTACTTCTTATGCATTTGTTGACCGGCAATCAGTATCAGATGAGATGTCTGTTGCTATCACTTCTCCTGGCCATTCAGGTTTTGGTCCTTGGGGGTATCAAAATTCCCCCAACGATATCATATCTGCAATTTCAGAATCAGGAGATTGGGAGGAACTTATGCAATATCTCAGTTCTGATGCAATTCAATTTGATGATTTCTTATATAGAGAGCTTGGTCAAACCAACAACTCTGTTGCTGAAACAATTGCAACACAGTTTCATCAACTGCAACATGGTGTGGCGATGGATCTTTTACAAAACCAATTCATGGTTTCAGAAAATGTGCACAATGAAGACAGCACAAATACTAATCAACAATGTCCAATGAACAACGTTTCGATTGTTCCAGAGGCCTCTACGTGCAAAGACAAGTACAAGAAGATTTGGATCAAAATAACTAGCATAGTGAAATGGTTAGCACTGAACAGGTTTGTTAAACTTAAAAAGGTCCGTATGACCAAGAAGCGCAAATCAATTTCCAAATGAGCCACAGCAAAATCAACAACCACTGGCTCTGTCCCATTTAGCTATGGTGGAAACCAATCAACAGTCATCAGAGTTCTGTAACGTCTGATGCTAATTTCAGCTCATCGCTGAAATTAGTGTTTATGTGTGTGATGTTTATGAATTATCTTGTGGTCATGTTTCAACATGAACTATTTGACACGCGCTTTACATTTTCATTACGTTTAATTCATGTCACACCATTTCCTTTTTAAGTCGTTCCGAATATTATTTAATGACACCATCTACATCTACGCTTATTTTTCTAAAAAAATGTTCGACAAAAATATTTTCCTTCTTTCAAACACACTATAACAGTATTATTTTTTTTTTTGAAAATAGTTGCCACAACAAGTCCATTATTTTAAGGGAGAAGGGTCAGATATACCCCTTAACTTTCTCATTTAGAGCTGATATACCCCTTGTTATGAAAGTGGTTCATATATACCCCTATTTGTAAACAAATGGCTCACATATACCCTTTTTCTCTAACGGAAATGAAAAAAAATAATTTTAATCTAAATTTTTTTTTATTTTATTTCTAAAAAATATAATCCCATATGAGTAAATTTAATCATCGTCAAACATATTTTTTTGACTTTTTTTTTGTTTCAATGACTAATTTATAATTATTATTTTGATAATCAAATTTATTTATGTTTCACTAATATTCTTGTAAAACTTATTGTAGATGACAAAAAAAAATTTCGAATACGAAATTAAATTACAATACACAGTAAAAAAAATAGTTTAATTTTTTTTTTCTTTAAACTAAGGAATGAAAGAAAAAACAAAATAAGAATAAGAAACTCAAATAATTATAATAAAAGAAGTCAAAAAATAATTTATATATGAAAAAAATTAAAATATACCTTGAACTTTAATAGAAGAATCATATATATCTCTAAATAATTTTTAAAAAAATAATTAGAAGTAATAAATATAAATTTAAAATAAATTTTTTAACTTCCGTTAAATGAAGGGTATATGTGAGCCATTTTATAACGACAGGGGTATATGTGAGCCGTTTATATAACGATAAAGGCATATATGAGCGACTTTTATAACGAGGAATATATCAGCTTCAAATGACAAAGTTAAGGGATATATCAGCTTCAAATGACAAAGTTGAGGGATATATCAGATCCTTTTCCCTTATTTTAATTTGGATCATCTAGAATTTGAGCTTTCCAGCTCGTGTGGTTCTTTACATTTTTCTAATATTTGGTCGTATTGGCCGACTTAGAACACAACTAACTTTTGTCTGCTTTTTCTTTTTTCAAGAAATACTTGTTTCAACTTACCAAGAATTTGCTGAGAATCTCCTAACTATACTATACTCATGCCAGTGCTCATTGCTACGTATAATAAGGTCTCCGATCACTTTTATTTGTCACTTATTTTTAAAATATATTTTTTATTATTTATTTGTCATTTTTATCATATCAAGATTATTTTTCTATGTTTAATCTTTGATATTAGTTCTATTTTCCTTGTCATTTTTCAAGACTCAATATTGTTATATCTTTTACCAATGTGACAAGGTGAATTGCTCAATCCCAATACTGATTCAACCTAATTAGTGGTACAAAATCAAAAATAAATTGGAGTCCTAACTTTTTAATTTATTTGTATTCTTTTTGATATGCAAACTTAATCTTTCACTAAATAAAATGAAAGACACAATACAATTTTTTTTTTGTTGTTGAAAATGATTTATAATAATTCCACTATTAATAAATGATGAATCTTTCAAATTTAAGGGCAGCATGGCAATATATCAGACATAAAAAAGAGCCTAATAGAATTTACAAGTGGATTTGGAAAAAGGGAATCCCTTTTAAAATGGCTTTTACCAATGTGACAACGTATTGATTCAACCTAATTAGTATGGCTTTTACCAATGTGACAACGTATTGATTCAACCTAATCAGTGATCTAAAATCAAAAATAAATTGGAGGCTTAACTTTTAATTTATTTGTATTCTTTTTGATATGCAAACTTAATTTTTTTTCTTCATTGAATTTTTTTTATTTTTTCTATGGTCTTATATGTATATATATGTATATATATATATATATATATATATATATATATATATCAAGATATTTTTTAATTTTATAATCTTAAACATGTTATATAAAAGTTAAATTTAAAAATTGATGATAAATAAAAAAATTCCACTAGTAAATAAAATGAAAGACAATTCGTTTAATTGAAAATGACTTATAATAATTTAACTATTACTAAATGACGAAGCTTTCAAATTTAAGGGCCTAAAATGGATGCCTTATTTTTTAAAGGAATTTAATTACCTGCACAATACCTCTATCTATAATTTCTATTTGGCTTGGGAACTATGTGACATTTAGATAAGATCATAAACTTGTGGTTTATAAGTAGGCAAAAGGATTCGGTGGATGTTTATATTTGTATTATGAAAATTTGTATTTGATTTTTTATTAATTAAATTCTTAAATTCGATAAAAAAAATAATTTTTAAACCCCTTACCATGTATGTGTAGCTCACTTTCTTTTTAATTGAAAAGAAAACATGTCAAATTAAGGTTACTCAAATTAATAATACGTCATAATTATGTATTAATTATTTTAAAAAATTATTATTCCTTTTAAGTAAATTTTTTGTCTCCACTCGTCTTCTGCTCGATTCAGCCGTGAAATTACCAAAATTAGTCGGAGAAAGCTGGAATTTTTATTAAACTAAGTTATTATATAAGTCAATTTATTAAAATAATATATTTTTTTAAGATTTTACAAAATTAATATAAACGTATTTCACAATAACATTTTAGGATGTGTTTCATTTTCTAAAAACAAATAGCGTTAGGTTGATATACGTTACTGTGAGTAATGTTTTACACTTAAAACGTTATTCCTAAAACGTTACTTAATGTTTTAGGACTAAAACGTTAGTGTGAGTAACATATATTAATCTAACTCCGTCAATTTTTAAAAATTAAAATATATCCTAAAACGTTACTATAAAATACGTTTATAATAATTTTATAAAATTTTTTAAAAATATATTATTTTAATAAATTATTTTATATAATGACTTAATTTGGTAAAAACCTCCCGAAAGCAGCCACAACCACCGTTCCACTTGCCGGCAAGACCACAAACACTTTCTTCTTACACTTCTCTCTCTCCCTCTCCGTCGATCACCTTCTACATTTTCCTTCCATTCTTCTCCGACCTCCACAAATCTAAGCTGCCGCACCACAACTCCGGCGGCCAAACCTCTTCACCCGTTGTTACCAGCTCCTCGCCGCTCATCCGCCTCGTTCTTCCCTTCACTGCCTTTCTTTCTCTGCACCATCAATGATCCCCTGCAAAACACCACGGACCGCCTATCATCGCTGTCTCCGTCGAACCAGCAGGAGACACTCCTTGCCGCCTCCGTCCGTCCTATTGATCGTCTAAGGAAAATGAAAGAAAAAAAATGGTGTTCACTTGTTAGCCAATTCAATTATTTTAATGTCATATAAGCATTGTCAATAATCAGAAAAATTTAATATATTAAATATTATTGAATTTAAAGTTCCAATTAATAATAAGTCAAATAGAAGGATTCATCATACGATCATATACAAATATAATGATCAGTGAAGTATGATAGCTTATTCTACATGTTTGATAAACATCTAAACTTCTTATAAGTAAGTTTTTATAAATCCAAAACGATAAATTGGTCCGTCCTAAATTATAATGCTTTTTCCCTTATTACCACTTTTAGTTTAATTATCTATTTATTGTATTGTATTTCTAATTTTTAAAATAGCTTCTAAGAGAATATTCAAAAAGGTAAAATAGTGGAAAGTAACATCTTAATTTTTGTTTTTTAATATCATTTTAAAAAGGTTTTTGTTATTCTCATTCAACAATATGAACTAGATAAAGTAATATTTATCATTAATTGAAGTATTTCAATACAATCACATAATTATTTATCTATAAAATGAAAAATAGTAAAAAAAAATACTATAATTCAAAAACATCTTTACTAATTTGATCCGAAAAAATATTATTAATACGTGACTGAGAAAAGCCCAAAGGAGATATTGAATTGTACGGAAACAATATGTAGAAGAACAACATTGCTTAGTGTGGGATGGTGTGTGTGCTACTGCTCTCAAATTTAATTTAATTTAATTTTCCACAAAGGGTCGGCTTTTGTTTTTAAAAAAACACGGCTGTTTTTGGGACCCATTTTCCTTGGGAAACTCTTTACCCAGAAAAGTCTCACTCTCTCTCTATATATATGCACACTTTGGATTAATTCTCATTCGTAAAAAATTATCTTCTTTACAATTTATTCCTTTTTTCAGTTTTCTAAATATAGCTCAGTTTTCATGAATGACATAATAATGTCTAATTCTGAGGATTTAGGTGCCCACAAAAGTAATTCAGATGATGAGCTGCTTTTCTCTTCACCTACGTAAGTCAACTCTGAATCATTGCTTGATTTTATACTGAATATACTTGCTCCACTTAACCAAAGATTCTGTTTTTTATTTTGATCAGCTTGATGTTTGCTTTTTGACTAGTAATTTATGTTTCTTTACTTGTATTTAGTATGAAGAAAATGTTGGAAGTGATGATGATCCAGACTTTTGACCGTGTTCTAAAACCAACCTTGGGAAAATTGATTCGTAATGTTGCAAGTATACTACTTTACTCAATATTCAAATGTATTGGATCTTTTCTACTTGTTTCGGGTGAATCCCCACACACACACATATATATATATAAATCTTTTGATTAGTTACGTGTTTACTAACGGGCGTTTGAATCGACTCGCGAACATAAAAGTTTAAGTCGAAATCCAATTTTAACTTTTACTAAAAAGGTTTATTCATATTTGTGATAATCCTGACTACAGAGCCCTAACCATATAACAGCTTTGAGTTTTAATTTGATGTAAATGGATTTTGATCCAGTGGAGAATTAATATTGGGAAAACCTGGTGAATTATTCATCTTATGTTAGGCAGGGGGAACTGCTGCTAATCTGTCGTATGAGAATTTTCACGACTTAAAAGCTGAAATTCCGAATTAATAGGGTGGCATGTTGTTTTGGAAAACTTTAGTTTTTCAATTTTCAAAAAAAAAAAGCTACCTAAAACATGAAACTAGTCTAGTGATCAATATTAACTATCAGTGGTTTAATTGCTTCAGAAAATTTATACTGCAGGGGATTTAGTAGTTAATACGTTGTTGTTCGTATTCCAAAGGTCTTTTTTTGTAATATTTATTATAGCCAGATAGAAGGATGGTTTTGTCCTGAAAAACGATTTTCTTGAGCCGAGGGTCTTGGAAAACAGTCTGTCTAACCATTCTCTCCATACTCCATTTGTGGGACTACACGGGGGTATGTTGTTGTATTCCAACAACTTCTAAGTTTACTTTCTCTGTCCAGGTAAAACATGAACTTGAATTGGCAGAGAAGAAGTTTTTGTTCACAAAGGGGTAAGGATCGTTCTCTGTGTTACTGTATTCCTATTCCCATTTAGTAAGTGATAGTGTCACAATCAATTATTATCGTGAATCTCGTACCTGAGACATCATTGTTCTCCAGAAACCCTGAAAAAGATATTCAAGCTCCTAAACTAAGAATCTTGAAGTTGATGTTCTTGTCGGAAGTATCTGTTCCTGTACTTACCGGAAAGGAAATTAAAGGAGAAGGAGGTAATGCTATTGAATTGGTCTTAGTTGATGATAACACTGGAGAAATTGTTGAATCTGGACCAGAAGCATCAGCTAAAGTGGAAATTGTTGTTCTTAGGGGAGAATTTGGAGATGATGATGGAGGTAATTGGACAGTAGAAGAGTTCGGTAGTAATGTTGTGCGAGAGAGGGAAGGAAAAAAACCTCTTCTAGCAGAAACTGTACATGTGAGACTTAATAAAGGCATTGGTTCTGTAGACAAAATCAAATTTTCACATTCTGCAATCTATATGAAGATGGGGATGTTCAGGTTAGGTGCACGATTTGTTGACACTTTCAATAGCATTCAAGTAAAAGAAGCAAGGACTGAATCTTTCACTGTCAAGGATGGGCGCCAGCAATGTAAGTAGCTTTTCTATTTACACAATAAGGGCAGATAAAGGAGGCTTGCAGGGCTAATATTTGTTTTGTGGTACTTCTTTTTCGATTTCTTAACTTACTTTTCTCTAACTATGCGTGCTGATGAGGCACAATAGGAAGATAAACCTGAGCAATTAAACCATTACATGATCTAACATTTTAGAATAGCTACTGATTACTGCTGGTTCTATCTGTGCAGATCATGAGAAGCATGATCCACCATCTCTATCCGATGGGGTACACCGGTTAAAAAACATAGGTAGAGGCAGTAAGAATCGCCTCTGTGATGTAAATGTCCGCACTGTAGAGGACTTTCTGATTTTGCTCCTAAAAGACTGTGAGCGACTCAAATGTGTAATTCACTATGCCCTTTACCTTCTTAAGTTTCACTACATAGTGCTTGCTACCAGTATAAACATGCTTATTTGAACTGCATGCTAAAACTTAACCCTAAAAACTTACTAACTCATGGATTCATGCTGTCAATTTTAACCTTGTATTGGAACTTAGCATTAAAACAAATAGTGTAAAACTGAATTAACCATCATACAGTGCATGTTTCACCTTTATTACAATCTAAAGCTAATGACATATTTTGTTGATTTTCAGGTACTTAATCTAAAGCCAAAGATGTTGGAGGAGACAATTAGCCATGCTCGGAGATGCATAACTAATGAACGGACATACTCGTATATTGATTTACAAGAAAAAGAAGGGGTGGTTTTTAACATTGTTGGAGAGGTGCAGGGACTTATTCTAGGGGGTCAATATCTACCTATGCATCTATTATCTGATAGTGAAAAGGCATGATTTTTTTTAGACCAAAACTTTTGCTGTTCTCTCTTTTCTTTCGTTGCTTGTTTCTCATATTTGTTGCTATTTTCGTCCTATTTGTGTTTGAAATTGACAGACTAATGCTCAGAGGCTGCTCGTATCTGCATGTGAAAATTGGGATCATGTAGTAACAGTTGATAATGAGACATTTTTTATGCAATATCCTTCTCAACTATTGCCAACCATGAACCCTTCGAATTCTCCTAGCCGAGAGGTTCCTAGCACCAGTAATAATGTAGAGAATCTTAGAACAAGTGATGGACACTGTTCTACCTCTTTTCAGCGCAATGTTTCATCCGTCATTCCTGCCAGAGTTGCAAGTGGAATCAGTCAGAACGATCCTGATTCTGTCAGTATCAGTAACCAGGAGTTCTCTAACTCCCCAATATATAGTCCTTTAGTCCAACATTTTTGGATTGATCAATGCAACTACCAGTTAGAAGACATATATTTTGGATTTGATACTCATCAACCACATGATGCTTCTGCCTCTACGGTAAATGTGCATAACCGGTGGAAAATGTTGCTTAAAATCTTTAGACAGTCCTCAATGAGAAGAAGAGCTGCAGCATTAACGGATATTCAGCCTCTGAAGAAGCAGAGAGTCTTTTGATTCTATTGCTTTTTACTGTCAGTAATCAGTTCAATAGCAGGTGCATAGTTCCCTAGTGATGTTGCTGCTTGCCAAAAATATTATTAACTTTGAAGGATGAGTTTTGACTACTCTGGTTATGTTATGCAGTTGAAACTTGAAAGGATAGATCTCAGAGTTCCTCATTACAAACAAAGGCAGCATAACCTTCCACTGCAGATTCTAGTTACTTGTAGTTCTGGTGCTGTAGTAGCTGGGATTCAACATTTGAGAAGGCATCTTGAAAGTCTAATATAGTTATATGTTAGAATGTCGATAATATAGGTATATGTTCTGAAGTGTTTAGATTCATTTTACATCTTGGTTAAAATATTAGAATATCATTGATCATCATCTCATGATTTCGAGTCCCAATAGTTAGGAGCATCTTTGTTTCATGAAATATTAACTCCTGAGTATATAAGTAGGTGTAGCCAATATGAAAGGGGGTTGAAATAATACTTGGTGAGGCAAGATTATATGTTCATATTACACCTCCTATATCTTCTTCGTTATCAGGTTCTAAACTCTGTGTATTTTGGAATTCATTTCATATAAGTTTCTTTCTGTCTCATCGATTCTGATATCCTCAAGTACTACCACTCTTAATACATAGTACTACTCTGCCTTCTCTAATTAATTTTTCCTTTTGTTGACTGAATTAACTGACTAAAAAAAATCATACCTGTTTGGGCGGGTCATGATTTCATGGGCTGATGTTGCCACCTCTGGCCTTGACAGGGTAGAAAGTTATTGATCGCGGTTAGTATTCTCATCAGCAATGATTTGATGAACTCACGAGCCTGATTATTTAATGAGCTTCCATTTATAACCAGTTTGACATGTCTTAAGTTTGAGCATTACCAAAAAAACACCAAGCTAAATGAAGAAGCAGCTTTTGATGATCAAATTTAGATTCTGAAACATGGAACTCCGCATTATTAGTGATAGATTTTACCCTTAATGCCATGACTAACACTGGTGAGATGAATTACATCTGGCATTCACCTGTCAGCAGAACATAGGACATGACATTACACGACAAGGTATGCAGGATTTTCAAAACAACAGAGAGAATCCTTTTGTGTTAAATCCCGTTTATTGAATCAGTTTAGAGAAACAAAATGTATCTTATTACACTGTTGATTCTGTATACTCAAGTATATGCTATATTCTTGCAATCCGAAACAACTGCTCTGTATATAATTCTATAGTAATTGCTAAAAAGACTAAAGCAACTGTAAGGTCTTCCGGATTTTTACACCATATCAGCCTCAGCAAGAGCGTAGAAGTAGATCTGACTCCATTAATGAACACCTGCTGGTTCAGGAACTCCTACATTTTGCAAGCCTTGCTGTCCTTACACATTTCCTCCTTTATGCAAAGAAACAACAAAGGTAAGATTTTAGTTGTCTGTAGACTATCCTATGTATCAAACACGAAAACAAATGCTCCACGTTATGCTTTATGCGTTGAAGGATCTATATCAGGTATGGAAAAGAACATAAACTCAGTAGGAAATGTTATATTACACATTTCCATGTGTCATGCATGAGATTCAAAAATCTACTGGAACTTTCTTCAACACTAACAGGTGAAAGAAACTGAATGTATCTAATAGGTTCAAATACTACTCACGGATCTGAAGCTAGTATAAATACGACAGCCTGCACATCAATTGAAATGCTGAGAAAGGTACTCGTGTGATAAATACATTGACTGGCAGGGACAACGACAGGTCTTTCGTGATGATTATGCATATACACTACCCTTCAAAAAGGTATGAACAATGACAGCTACAAAACTTAGCTTAAAGGGGACATTATAGAGCTCACCTTCTTCCTTCGTGCCTTCAGAACTTCTTCTAAAGATGGTCGACCTGTAACAAGAAATACAGCTTCAGGAAATTGTTTTTAAGGCTATAAGCCATTAGATATATTGGATGGCTTTCTGAAGTGCAGCATGATGACATGCTTGATAAGATGGAATGTAAACTGCTTAAAGAAACTGAAACAAAATACTACTGTACATTGTGATATACTTAAATAGATGTCTATAATTTGTGTATGCATGTGAACTAGATAGGGAATTAAGAGTTCAACATGAGCTAGATCCATCTGCTCGTTGTCTCCAACGCTTTTTTACACAGGTTATTTGGAAGATAAAATGAGATGGGATTTAACCTGTTACTTGAAGACGATATTTTGCCCAAACTCCATACACAGCATCAGCAATAGTTGCAATCTGCAAATCACAAGCTTTCATGAGAACATGTCAACTAGTGTGACACAACTATATATCATATCAAGAATTGAAGAGGACTTACAGGTTCATATTTTGTAATTGCATACACCCATCCTAAACCAACTGCTTCATACAGCCGTCTAAACGCCTAAACCAGTAACAAAAGAGAAGAAAAAAATTGTGAAATTTCAAATATGAAGGAGAAAATTACAAGTATCAAATACTATGGCACACCTCAACATCTGTAACCACAGTTCCATCTGATAGTATAGCATGTATTCTTCCCATAACCTAAAAAAAATGGTGACATACACACTAGAGTTATTGCTTCGTGAAAAGTGAGAAAATAGAAGCGAGCTCGAGCAATTCAAATTAGGTACTATTTAGATAATTAAAATGGATGTATTTAATTAATAAATGATTTAACTTACGCTAGATACAAAGCAATTAAGGATCATACCGTCTCATAATCTAGGCCTTCATTCTCGTCTGGGCGGTATTCATCTGAACTTATGTCAAGAAATTTAATTGTTCCATAACTTTTATTCCTCTCTCTTAGCATGTCAACCTGAAAAAAAAATCGTCTTCATAATAAAGCAGCATCGACCAGTGAGGACTGTTCAAGTGGTTGAACACCTCCACCATCAACAAGTAGATTGAGGGTTCAAGTCACACTAGAGGTAAGTGGAATACTATTGATCATCCATTACAATAATTACTTGAAAGAAAAACTGTACACAAAACAAAAACAGGGAGAAAACTGACAAATTGATATGATTCTATATACTATTCGAGAGTCAATTTGACTAATGTTGAAGTTAAATGAGATTATATGTTTGCAATATTCTAAAATCAAAATTTTTGTTTACTTTGCAATTTTTCTCAACCTTTACATAGTTAGAATCTCGAAAAACAAAAGTGTCACAGGAGGGAGAGAGAGAGGGAATCTATATACCTCACGCATGCAGAGGGGACACTCTCCATCGTAAAGCATCTTAATTTTCCAGTTTTCAGGAGATTTCTCTTCATTAATATCCTTGTTGGGTGCCACAGTTGTTCCACTAATTGCCCTAATTGAATACCTTGGTCCTGAAATTAACCAAAGTTTCACCATAATGATCATGTAAAGAATTAAGCAAAGAGAAATCGACTAATGAAAACTTTTTTACCATGTTGATTGAGCAGATTAGGGTTTGGATTGGGAAGAAATTTAGAATAGGGGGATTTTGTAGTGATATAAGGAGGAAGTGAGAAGAGAGATATATTGGCTCGTCTAAAAACAGGAGACGATGCTGCTCTGAATGCCATTTGCATATTTTGGCAATGAAGAAAAAAGTGACGGAGGAGAATGGAACAGAGTCTGTCGTCTGTTTTTGTTCATGTTAACGGCCACACCTACGTGGCACTTCCATCTTCACTAAAATCATTTTTGTTTTTCATCAACATTTTTAATTAATGTATTTTTGTATAATGTAATTTCTTAATTAATAATATTATACAGGATCAATGATGTTTGATTGGTCATCTTCTGTTAATATAAGTGATTACGCTCACTCTCTGCCCATCGATTAATCAAATTCAAAAGAAAAAATGTTTGGGCTCAGATCCATTAAGGGCTTCAATCCGGTACGATGAAAAAGGCCAATACATACATATGGCTCCTCACTTTACTTGGTTTCCAATTAAGGCCAATGATGTTGAAAAAAAAAATGGCCTTGAATTTTTTATTCTGATTCATCACTTGAGCAAAACTTATAAGGTCAAAACTAAAAACTATTGTTCACGTGGCAAAATATGTTAGAACTTGAAGGTGTTTTTACTGATGTTATGACCCATCACTTGTATAAAAATTAGTGGAAATGATCTAGAGTCTTGGAGAAAGTTTTAAAATAACTTTATAACATTTCCTGGAAAGCTTTAGAGTTATAGAAAATTCTAGAAGAGAGACTAATTTGTAAAAATATGTAGAGACTTGTACATTGAAAAATTATTTACACTGTACCAACTGAGTGTGTAGTATAAATAGAGGGATATTTATTTTGTAAATAAACTAAGCAAAGTGCAAACAATCGTCAAGCTATACAAACGTTTATTGTTAAAACTGTGACTAAGTTGTTGAGTGTAAACAAAACAAAAAATTCATACAAAATTGTAAAAGAATCATAAGTAGGTTATCGACTGTAAACAAAACAAAAAATTTAGAATTAGTCACATATAATGTCACTTATATAATGCACATATGAAGGCTTAGTCTATGGGGGCGATCCAATTCAATCCATTATTGGAATAGGATTTGGATAAAAAAATTTAAATCCATTTAAAATCGGGGTTATAAGCCTAACCCATATAGGCTCTTAGCCCTTGAGGCCTGATCGTGGTCGAATTGGAGTCGTCCCATAGACCAAATTATTTAATTTTAATTAAAATAAACATTAAAAAAATAAAAATGAAAAACTAGAAAACCTAAATGTAGCCTCTCACTATACAACTGTAGAAGTAGAATACGTTTTATTGTTATCTCCTTTCTACTAAGAGAACAATTTTTACATGTAACAATTATCTCTTTTAATATTTATCTATGTATAACTAGTTATTTGCTCAATATAAATTAATATTTAAATATGAGTTTTCTGTAATGTTTTTAGCTTTTATTAATTAATACTAGTTCTGAAAATGTGCCTTGTACGTTTAACCTCTGTTTCTGTTATAATTTATATAAGTCCAAGATATAAAATTGCTTGACATTGTCTGACGTACTTTTATATTTTTTTGTGCATATAAAATAAACTTTTTTTGGTGTTTACTTTTTGCCTAGAACTTAAATATCAACAATTTTTTTGGTGAGTGATGAGTAATTTGTAAGGCTAGAACTAAGCCCCAAACTGAAATTTCTTGGGATATAATTAAATACTCCAACAATCATTAAAAATAAAAAAAAAATGAATGAAGGACACAAACTAATAAGAAAAATAGTGACCAATAAAAGAATATTATAAGAACTATTAGATTATGTGTTTCTCCAATAACCATGAAGATAAAAAATGAACGAAGGCACAAATCAATAAGAACAATAGTGACCAATAAAAAATACTCGTGACAGAAGAACTAAAGATGATGAAAACAAAGTTTGGTGGATTAATATTTTTTGTCCAATTTATAAAAGGAGAAATTAAGTACATGAAAGGTTTGTACATGAATGTGTTTAATGGTAGAAGCTAAAAAGTTTTAACAATCAAATTCATTAGGAAATGGAAAATGATAAGTTGGAACATCTAATCATGTATTTGGTCTAGTTTAATTGTCATTATTTATTTAATTTTAAAAATTAGTAAATAACTTTTTAATTTAAAAAATTGGTGAAGGGTATTTTCGTAATCTAACTTTAAACTTAAAATATTCCCCCTTATAATAACATATATGATTATTATAGATATTGTTTTAATAAGTGTTTGTGGAGTTTTTCTAAGGAGCTTACTTAATGAATTTTTTTATTATTTAATTTTGAATATAAGACTTAGTAGTAAACACTTTTTATGTGATATGTGAGAGATTCTTTTATGGCTAGAACAGCTAATTAGTTTCTTGATTCATTCAACAAAATACTTTAGTGAGAAATGTCCTTTAGTTTACTAGTTTGTTTTTCAGATATTATTTAATATTTACTTACGAGATTACTATTATTATTTTTTTAAATATTCATTGATAGATTTTATTTAGAATTATTAAAATAATATTGTTGTTTGATTTGACTAAAAGAAAGGGTTGGTCTGCTCCAGTTCTTGACCCTTCTAGGTTTAGATCGAGTTAATCATTTGATAGCCCTTTGAAATAGAGGCTCAGTTCGCCTCAGCCCATTAAATACTTCGGGCTGCAAGGCTTGGGCAGGAAAGGATTGAACTGATTCGTTTTGACAGCTCTAAATGCAGATGATGCGATAATCTTTTCATAAAAGAATAATTGAAAATGAAATGTTTTTTTTTTTCATTTATGATTGGCTTTAACTTTTCCAAAAATCTCACTTATAAAGTAGCATTCACATCTGTGCCTTTTGAATTATTCCCCATTATCAAAACTGATATGAATTATTGCATAGATAAATTGTTTATTGAAACTACCCTCTAGTATACATAGAATGATTTTAGTATATTATTATGTACAATTTCGAGTTCTTATGCTTACTTATTTCGGTTAATTTTTGTTTATAAAAAATGACTTTTGAATTTTATTGATATACTTCCATAAGTTCATTTTCTATATAGGGAAAGTACACTACAAGCTAATATAGAGTAGTTAATTATGTTATAGCTTAACATAATTATAAAAAATGGTTATAGTTAAAGAAAATAGTTATATAGGGGGTTCATATTTTGTATCAAAATATGTAAATCTAGCTAAAGAGGTCTATTAGATTTTACATCTTCACTATTTATGAAATTTTCTCGATATAATGTTCTTTTAATTATATTTTATTTATTAAGATGAAAATTTAAAATAGTACAAGAATGCACCCTTGTGTTGTGTCCCACGTTTAAACACATAAGTATTTAAATGGATTAATCCACATTACCTAACCTCGATGGATACTTTAATTAGGTATATTACATTATTGAAATGATGAAAGCATAATCGTACGTACTCCCACTTGGTGTATATATGCCCTATATTAACTTTAATTAATTTTAAATTTATGAGTTTATATTAAATACAAACAATTATAACAATTTTTTTTGGCTTATGGTTCTAGATTCCTTTCCGTGAATCACTATATAATTTTCATTTTACCTTATTTATTTATTTATTTATTTGATTTATCAATATCTGATTCTATTAATTAGATAGTTGTTTTAATTGTCCGTCTACAATTTGAAGATTCCTTTTTATATATTTTTAACTTAAACATAAATTATGTACTAAAAGTTACATATTGGGTTGAGTTAAATTGATCATTTGACAAACTTTAAGATTATGTTATCATGGCTCCATTCTTCTTAGGATAATTATTCTATATTTCATATAGTTATTTTAAAGGTGGAATCAATTCAAAATAGATACTCCTTCCGTCAAAAAATGTTTGTCATGTTACGTTTATCGAAAATCAATTTGACTAATTTTTAAAGGTAAATTAAATTACATTAATTTGATACTTTTAACCAAAAAAATAGATATTTTAAAACTATATGAAAAGTACTATAAATTACAATTTTTTCATATTAATATGATGAATATTCTATATTTCATATAGTTATTTTAAAGGTGGAATCAATTCAAAATAGTATTCCCTCCGTCCAGAAATGTTTGTCATGTTGTGCTTATCAAAAGTCAATTTGACTGATTTTTAAAGATAAATTAAATTACATTAATTCGATACTTTTAAATAAAAAAATTAGATATTCTAAAATTATATGAAAAGTACTATAAAATACAATTTTTCATATTAATATGATGAAAAAATGCACCTTAAAATGTTAGTCAAAGTTTTATAATTTGACTTTAAAAATAGAAACCATGACAAACATTACCGAACTGAGGGAAGGGAGTATTAGATCAGAGAATAATTAGTTGTCCCAATGTGGTGTCTTCTTGTTATTTCTTTAATTGACAAGGAAGAAAATATATATAATTAAACATAAGTAATGAGAAAAATGTAGAAAGGAGAAAAAGAAAAATAAATAAAGAGAAAGTCTCATTCATTGGCCGGGATATCCCATAAAACAATCATTAATTCAACGACTCCTCGCTTTATGTGATGAATGAAACAAAAATATGAATATCAAAAAACAAAAAAGTAAAGTCTATGCAATAAAAAGAAAGTAAAAGTGGGATTATTTTTTTTTGCAGAATATGATTGAGAATGAGCTGTATTTCTCTACTTGCATTTCTGTCTTGTCCAATTTAATAAAATTAACAGGAAAAAAAATATTAAAGAGATATAAAACTAGTATGAAAACTTCCATTTTCTCTTTGAATTATTTCTAAATATTTGCAGTAACGTAATTAAGATGATCTATGAATCGAATTTAAATCATAAATAGAAAGTAATTAAACAATTTTGATTTTCACATGATGTGTCAAATAGTTGGACGGTTTGACCCGCTGCAATATATCATACGTTAACAGAAAGGCTTGTCCTTCAAAGAGAGACAAACTTTAAGGTACAACGGTTCCATTGGCAGCTGGCAAAATGTCTACTTCCAAATTCATGTATACACTTTTTAATCTAAACAAAAGGAGGAGAAAAATTTTCATGTAAGGCGTTAGGCTAGTGCCAATGGGTACGTAAACGAGGACAGATCACATGGTTTTGTACTGGTCAGTTTTGAGCGGATCCTCTTTACGATGAAAAGGATGAACTTCAAGAGACTGATTCG